GAGTGTTATATTGTGAGAAACTATTGCAAATTATTCAATTTCGTACATTTTTTTCTTATTGAGAAACGAACATGCGCCTATTGCATACACAGAGAATTTTCTAAAAGCATGGCCGATTAAATCTTAATGAATTTTTAGAATTGAACCACTTTTCGTAGGACTATAGTATTTCAGTGTGTTCATAAAGGCCAGGAACTCACATCACGGTAAAAGATTTAAATAAAATCGCAAAAAAATAAAAAAATAAATTTTATATTAACCACTTATGTAAAAATAACCCGACAGATTTTTGTCAAATCAATCAGCACGAATCCAATAATGATTTTAGAATTTTCATATCGGATCTGTTTCTTTTTTCACATAAAGTGCCCAATTTTTTTTGTTAAAAATAAAAAATATACAAGTTTATTTTCTAACAACAAAGGTCCCAGAGAAAATCCAACTAGTTTACATATTATTTATTTAAATAAATGAATTGAATTTATGTTTCTTTTCCTAGCTATTAGGTAAATTCAAGAAAACTTCAAATAAATTTCATTATATTTTCATTATAAATTTATGTTTAAAATTGTAACAGATTTGTTTAAAAGTAAATAAAAATATTTAAAAGAAAAAAAAGAAACAAATCGACTTACTTCATAGATGAAAGAAATATGAATATTAATTGAAGTATCAATTTTATTTGTTTCAGCACTCTATAGAGGACTGTAGCACGTAAATCTACCTCTAGGTTTAATTCTAGATAAAATTTATATAAACATAGAAATGATAAACCTAAATATTTATTCACATACACACACATACTTTTTCAAAATTTGGTCCCATTCGATTCAGAATGACTTGAAACATCGCGAAAACACAATTAGCGATTTTTGAAAAAGACAAACTTCTCCTTCGGGAAGTTAAAAAAAACTTTGTATCTCACGACAAAAAAATATTATAAATATTAAAAATTGTGTCAATAATTAGAATAAATTTTTAATTACCTACATCTTGAAAATTATAAATCCCTCAATTCATTTATTACTCTCCTCTTCCATCTATCTCCATGGCGAAAACTTTCCGGGCGGAGTGTGAGTTGAAACAAAACCGTCGGTCGCCCCACAAGCCCCACGAGCAGCCCCTCGGCGCCCCATTCCAAGAGCCATTTGGGCCGGGAAAACACATCTTTCATCATTTTTATTTCATTTTCTTCGTTCTGAGATTTTTAGCTGCCGCAGATATACTTTATTTCCTCGATCATAATAGTTTCGCCGGATAAAGAATTAGATTTTGTTATTGTAATAGAACAAGGAAAAACATTATTCCGGGTGAATGGAATTTTAAACAAATGGAGAATATGCTGGTACACTTGTGTGTATTTTTTCTAATCTAGTAATTGGTTAGGGACTGTGCAAGGAGAAAATCAAGCGTAATAACATTATTCCTAGTGATTCTCTGGAGGACGTTTAAAAATTAGCTCCGACTTGTGCCACTCGGACACTAATTGACTCATTTTGTGCGACTCGTGCAGAACAATCAACAATATTGTTCAATCTACTAATTCTATCCCATTTCACTTACATTGGAGCAAATTCAGAAAATAGATACTTTACTAGATAGAAACAGGTAGTAATAGAAATTTAGAAGCATAACAAGAATCAGAAAAACCAATTTGCTGATTTTATGTTTTCACAAAATTCTGAATCGTTTGAAACCAAATTTGGAAAATTTATATGACTTAGTACGTGTTTGACGCTGAGCCGAATCTTTAAAATTAGCATGAAAAATTTCAAAACTTTTCTTCCACATTTTAGCCAAAAATCCTGAACCAATTTTGAAAATTCAAAAACCATTGTATATCGTGCTGATTAGTTTTTGGCGAAGATCGGCCCTGCTATTTAACCTAGAAAATAGCAATTTTCGATGCACAAACTATAATACTTCCCTTACACAACGAGGAGCCCTTTTTCGCTCTTGCCAGCTAGCCAGACATCAAAGACTTAAATTCTGTATAATTAATGTTCAGCATGAAATTTCATAATTAAAACTGCAGCTGTGCAAACACGCTAATTGCAAAAAATTACAAAAAATATCTTTTACGACGGAAAAGCAAGAAGAATGAAGCAGACACAAAGGCACATCGGTAGTAAACAAGGGCCAAACTAGATCAAAGGCCCAAGAAATAAAAAGAGATAAATTTCAGCAGCAAATTTAAAAGTACAGATTCTCAAATTAACCATAAAAATTTCCATAAAAATTCTAGCTGGAGCAAAGTGATATTTATCCACTAAAGTCTGCATTCAATTACGAATTATTCACAATATCAATATCAAAGTGTATATAACAGTTTCTACTAGATTTTAATAAATTTTATCTAGCATTTACTGATGTACACATATTATAATGTCCGGAATGAAAATTGTAAGTTATTTGGAGAAAACTAAAAAAATGTCCTAAATCCATATATTGCAAGTTATAAACATACTAAAGTCCGCATTTTAACTACGAATTATTCAAAATTTCAATATCGAAGTATAAAAAACCATTTCAACCGATTTTTTTGTAAATTTTATCTAGTTTTTGCTTATGTAAAAAATTATAATGTCCAGAATAAAAATAAAAGTTATTTGGAGAAAACTGAAAAAATGTCCTAAATCCGTATATTGCAAGTTATGGAAATACCAAAGTCCGCATTTTAACTACGAATTATTCAAAATTCAAATATCCAAGTGTAAATAACAGTTTTTACTACTTTTTAGTAATTTTTTTTTATTAATGCAAACATATAATCATGTACGGAATGAAAATTAAAGATATTAGGAGAAAACTAAAAACATGTCCCAAATCTATATATTGCAAGTTATGGAAATACTAAAGTCCGCATTTCAACTACGATTTATACAAAATTTCAATATCCAGGTGCATGTAACATTTTGGACTAAATTTTAGAATAGTTTATCTAGTTTTTACTAACGTAAACATATTATAATGTCCGAAATGAAAATTAAAAGTTATTTGACGAAAACTAAAAAAAATGTCCTAAATTCATATGTTGCAAGTTATTGAAATACTAAAGTCCGCATTTCAACTACGAATTATTCAAAATTACAATATCAAAGTGCATACAACAGTTTTTACTTGATTTTAGTAAATTTTATCTGTTTTTTTATTGATGTAAACATATTAAAACGTCCGGAATGAAAATTAAAAGTTATTTGAAGAAAACTAAGAAAATATCCTAAGGCCATTTATCACAAGTGTTCAAGACACTAAAGTCCGCATTTTAACTACAAATTATTCAAAATTTTAATATACAAGTGTAAATAATAATAGGTTCTGTCAGGTTTTAGTAAATTTATCTAGTTTTTACTGAATTATATAAAAACATAAGGTCTAGAGCAAAATTTCTAAAATATTCAAAGAAATGTTAGAAAATGTCCAAATTCACACATTGCTAAATACTCGTCTATTAACAGAAAAAGTTCCTATAAGATATTTAAATTATTATATAGGTGTGTATACAACTATTTTTCCTAACTTATAAAATGTAATTACGCTTATATTAAAAAATACAAATAAAATGTTCGGAACGAACAGTTTCTGTTATTTTAGAAATATCCTAACTTTACATATTGCTAATTATCAAAATACTAATTATACTGCATACTAGAATACGACAACGACAAACAACTAAATCAATTGAGTTTAAACAAAAAATACAAGCAAACTATTAATTCCATATGTAAACCGATTTTAAAGTTATTAGCGATCAAAAGCGGTGACTGATTATCTAGAAGTGAAACTTTTGCGTTTTGAAGAATTCTGAACATTTTTTCAAAGGTTTGACGAAAGTTCAGAAACCTTTAAACGCAAAAGTTTAACTTCTAGATGATCTTCATGCTTTTGATTGCTAGTAACTATAAAATCGGTTTACATATGGAATTAATAGATTTTAGCTTGTATTTTTTGTCCGGATACAAATTTTCGTCCACGGTTTCAAGAGCACGGATCAACCGATTTCAAAATACCATTTTACAAAAAAATTACAATTTTTACACAACTAGTTAACTTCCCTTAGGGCAAGTTAGAGTAATCGCAAAAGAATCGAAAATGAAAATTTTTATGTATCTTTACGTTTCAAAACCTTCTGAACATTTTGGCATACCTTAGAAAAAATGGATGTATGTGTGTGTGTATGTGTGTGTGTTAGGATACAAATTTTCGTCGACGATTTCGGGAACACGGATGAAGCGATTGAATAATTCAAAAAACATCCGATTCGTATTGATAAGGAGACATGCTGATTAGTTTTTGGCGAAGGCAGGTCTAGTCGTTCCGAAGATATGGGGCAAAAAGTGCCAAAAACGGTAACTCAGTTTTTAAGAGAACGGAGCGTCCAATTTGAATAATTCAAAAAACATTTTATTTGTATTAACTAAATGAACTGTTTAAATTTTCATGAAGGCAGGTCTAGCGGTTTCGGAGATCTAGTAAAAAGGCAAAAAAAATGTCATCTGGCGGTCAAAAATGATCATTAGACATATGCACATCAAATTATCAGATATTTTATAGAGATTTTAACAATAAGTATAAGTTTTGTTTGCATTCCTATGGGTTCCGTACCAATGTTTATTCTTTAGACGGCGACGCGGCGCTTACAACGCGCTTTGACATTTTGTCTCTATGCAGTTAAAGCAGTACGCCGCTATGAAAAAAAGTTCAAATCTTTCAAGATATGCCAAAATATAAAAAACATTTTTTCAAAAAAATAATTAAAAAAAAAAAAAAAAATTATTTTTTTAAAAAAAATTTTTTTTTTTCAAAAAAAAGTAATTTTTTGTCCAATTTATAGTTTCTCAAAAATCTTATTTTTTCGAAGTAAATTTCTTAAATGTCAATCGTTTTTAAAAAAATAATAATTTTTGGTACGGGAAGTTTCAGCAATTTGCCTTAAGGCACAATGCCTTAATTGCCTTATGACAGAATTCCACTTACAGCTAGTTTCATTATAATCTGACCTTGTCTCCGTGCTGGTATCTCTTGCCTTCTGCTTCGCAGCTGTCGGCGTGCCTGGTCGACGTCGCCGACGGCTGGCGCAGCATCGCGCTCGCGTCGTACCGCGCCTCCGACTGGAGCACCTCCAGGTCCGGAGGAGGCGACTGGGAGGGCTCCGTCGCGACATCGTTGCCGGGTGTCGAGATGTAGGATGGATGTGCGGTGGTGGTCGACGGACGAACCACTTCGAAATCACCTGGAAAAGAAAAGGTATATTAATAAAATCAAAAATTATGCTTATACATAAAAAATGAATCGCAAAATGTGTTGGTAAGCGCATAACTCAACAACGTCTGGAGTCCAGACTCTGGACCAATTTGGCCAATTCTTTTTTTTAAATGTGCGTTCAAGTCCAAGGATGCTTCTTACGGCGAGAAAATATAGAACAATTGCTAGGAAAACCCTAAAAACAGCCCTTTTCTTTATCTCACACAAACGTTTTCTAACAAACGTAGAATCAATTTAGGCTTTATTGCTATTATATAAAGTTGATATTAAATTACAAGCACTCACTGTATACTCTTCCTAAACGGTTACTCGGATTTTGATAAATCTTTCTGAAGTTTGTTAAGGAAATTTTCTAGGATGTATGTGATTATAAAATGTTGGGATATATGTGCAATATTGTACAAATAAACGGAAAAAATTGCAAAAACGACATGTCATTGTATGCATTGAAAACAAATGAAAACTATCATCTGCCAAAAAATTCAGTTTACTTATGAACCTAGACAATATTAGAATATGTATAATAAATTTGTGATTATGAATAAGAAAAATGAAATGTCTACATTATAATTGCCAAAAAGCAGCTGAGATGTACCAGAAATTAAAATAATATAAAATACAGTATATGTATGGCAGATTGAATGATACACATGTGGACAGGATATGACAAATTAATTCACTTAAAATATGAAATTAAGTAATAATCAGGGCCGGTCCTACTTTTAATGTGATGCATGCGAAAAATACGAGCGCACGCCTTAGGGGGCGCCAACACAAGATTCGGATTTTAAATTTTCAATATAGTTTTTTTTTTCAATATTTAATTTCTTTGCATCTTTTACTAATCTTCCCACAATATTTTTAAAATTCATACAAATTTTACTTTAGAACAACAAAATTGAAAAGTAGAGATGAATACATACAATTCGGCGCTCACAATATCGATTAAGAGAAGTTTAAGATGCAATTTTCGATATCTTAAAAAATTAAATTAATTTCATCCAACATTAAGTACCAGTGTTATGTTATAGTTATGGTTATGTTATACCGTTTAAAAGACTTCAATTTCCAATATAGTGAGGGAATTGAGGCTCATCATTTTATTTAAAGCAGTTCTACATTTAACATCGCTCATATTATAAATGTATTTGCATTTTGGCGTTAAGAGTAATTTAAAAAAAAACAACAATTATTACGACGTTCGTTCGTTCTTACGACGAAGAAAAATCGAATAATTGCCGGGAAAACTCTAAAAACAGCCCTTTTTTTCACATATAGTATTTTCATATTTTTGCCAGCGGATACGGAATATTTACTCAAGTCAATGGAGAGTTTTGGGTCTGAATTTTTTTACAGTGCTCCAATTCGTATGAAATTTTGAAATTAGGTTTATATTACTCTCAAGTTCAAAAGTGAAAATAATTTAGACTCCTTTGCCATTTCCCGGAGGGATGACATCCCTCTCAGTGGTGTAATTTCATTTTCTTCAAAATAACGTCGGATATCGATAAAAGAACTAATTATAAGAAAAAAAATGTTTTATAATGTTTTTCAAAATTTTTACTCATAAGCAGTTGTAAATTTAAGATCCATATGGGTGGATGTATATAATATATACATTTCGGTAGACTGTAAAAAAGCATAATAATTTATAACTAATTGGTAAATATCAGTATAGGTTATTTTAAAAAAATTGGACTTTTGAATTGTAACAATTAGTACAGGACAACGTCTGTCGGGTCATCTAGTTATATTCATAAAAGTATATCATTATAAATAACAAAATAAATGAGCACAGTAGGCAATGGGCGCCAAACGTAGTGTTTTAGCGTAGTGTCATTATAAAAAATTGTTTTTATGTCCCAAGTATATTTACTTATATATGTAATGAAAATATAATTTTTATCAACAATAATAAGCATTATTATGTTCGAGGAAAAAGTCCAAAATGAGTACGAGTGGATCGAAGTCATCCAAAAACCGTTCGGACCTGAATACCGCCTTGCCCTAGCCTTAATCGTTGCTTTGGACATATTTGTCGTTGTCTATGGAGCCAGGTTCAAAATATTATCAAAACTATTATAATTAAATTTTCCAAGATTTAACCATTATGATGTCAAGCATCGTTCACATAAATTTTCACTTTAAAATATAGATAGCAATATATGAAAATTGCCATTTTCCGACATTGCTGCATCAATAAAAAAACTATCAGTATTGCAGAAATTGTAATATAAATTCATCACATAAAGATAAGATAACCATAAGGATAGGATTAACGGATAGGTTGAAAATTACCATATATTATATATGAAATCTTATATTTAGTTATGGTGAAGCATATTCAGACAACTACGAGTACTTGTTCATGACAATGAATTTGATATTCGCCGGAGATGTTATTTTGCGAATTTTTAATAAATGTTTTAGAAAGTCCAATGAATGTAAGTACATTTAATAATATCTATGCATTTAACAAAACATATCCTATCCTAGAAAAATTATCTTGCAGATATCGATGGCATGTTCCTGTTGCTAATTTTAGATATAATAGCTGTTTTGCCATTAGGTGAGTTGGAATAAACATTTTTAAGATAGTAGTAACGCAAAAAATCATAAATTTCCTTTCCCAGGTTGGCTATACTATCTCTTTGTTTCTCATGAGGGTTACTACGGTCATTTCTGGTTGCTAAAACTGAATGAACTCCTTCGAAGCCATCGAATCGTGACTTACATCATAACAAAACCGATAGACGATAGGTTCTATTCGACAAAAATGATTATGTGGCACGTCATATGCATGTTGCTAACAGCACAAATATTATCAGCAATCTGGTATCACATTGGTATGATATACAAACACCCCTTAAGCATTCCAAAAAAAAATTCTTAATTAACTTCCCGAAGGAGAAGTTAATGTTTTATTTCATTTATTAATTTCAGCCAATTTTTTTCAGGTGATAAAACTTTCCGATCCAGCTGGACTATGGGTGCTGCTGAAAAAACTTTTGATGAGTCGGATCCTCTAAATTGGTACCAGTTATCATTTTCGTGTATGTTGTCATTGGTGACACATTTTTGGAATATTGATTTCCTACCAGTGACCTTGCTGGAACGCGCTTTTTATGCCGTAAGAACATAATTAACTGACTTAGTGCCGAATATTTGCATTTATTTCATTTTCTCCCAGTTGGGGGTGAGTATAGCCTTCATGATCCACTTTGGCCTCTTCACCATGAGACTGTGCACCTCCTTCTACGTGGTCAGCTGTGGAAGATTGTGGAAAGTCCATGAAAGACTTGTGGTGCTTCGATATTGTGATAACAACAATATCAGTAATGATTTGAAAAGAAGAGCCATCAGGTATAATAATGAGCTGTGGCACAGGAAATACTGGTACAGGTGATAGAATTTCCAAAAATTGAACCGGCAAATAATTGACAAAATTGTATTTTGTGGTTTAGAAATTATTTAATAAAGCGTTTGCAAATACCGAGAAGTATGGAGATTGCGATGCTTTTGGACGACTGCAGAGGTGCTATCAAACATTCTACAGTTTTTTGTGAGTTGCCGATGAAGATCAAGAGACTGCTTTGTCAAGGATTTAAATATCAGGCACGATAGTAACATACAATTCAAACTAGTGGTGTGTGGTATCGTGCCTTAAGGCAAACTGCTGGAACTTCCCGTACCGTAATGAAATATTCGAGAAATTTTAAACGTTTTCAAATTACGAATTACAAATACTGTAACTTTCATTATTTTTGCTATCTTGTTATATCTGAAGAAATCAAATGTAAATCATAAATCAATTTATCTCCAGAACGTTAACAATCGTCTATTTACTATCGTCGAATTCAATTTGAAAAAAAAAAATAGTTGCCTAAAAGTTACTCAAAATTGAAAAAGTGCTCCGGTATAGTCAAAGTCTAAAATCGCGTTTGCAAATAATTCTGTACACATTTTCACTTATACTGTGCTTATCTTGGCGGCACTTTCACATTTTGGGTAAACATTTGTACCAGAGTGGCGCTTAGACTGTGCTTAGCCTGGGTCATTTTTTGAATGGAAAATAAAAAAAGATGTAATAATTTTTTATATTCAAAAGCAATTGTTTTGTCAATACAAGCAGAAAGTTTTTTAGATCATTCAAATCGGACGCTTAGTTCACTCAAAAACTGCCATTTTTTGCACATTTAGCTCTGTATCTTTGAAATAAAGGGACCTGTCTTTGCCAAAAACTAATCACCTCATCTCCCAATCATTACAAATTGAATGTTTTTAGATCATTCAAATCCGATACTCGGTTCTCTCAAAAACTCGATTTGTATTTCCTGCACTCTTTGCATCGTATCTTCTTAACGTTTGGACCTGCCTTTGCCAAAAACTAATCAGCACATCTTCCTATCAATAGGAATCGAATGTTTTTTAAACCATTCAAATCGGTTGATCCGTGCGCCCGAAAACGTGGACGAAAAAATGCGGACAAACAAAACACCCACACACACATCCATTTTATCTGAGGTATGCCAAAATGTTCAGAAACCTTCAAAACGTCGAGAAATGCAAAAATTTCCATTTTCGATTTTCGGCCGATTACTATAACTACCCTACGGAAGTTAACAAGATTACAAATGTAATTCACATTTGTTTCATCATTATTTTCAATCCAGTCTTAACTATTCAGCTATTTGTTTTTCACCCTTTCCCCATATTTTTCACTTCTATTTATTTTCAACCATCCATTTCATTCCACCTAATCCAGTTGGTTGTTTTAACATTCACCCCTTACCCCTTATCAGGTGGTAACACCTGGTGAATATCTTTACCACGAAGGTGATTTGCGCGATCGGATGATCTACATCCGATGTGGCGTCCTGATGGTCATGTCCAACGAAGATGAAAACACATCCGTTCTGAATTTGACGGCCGGAAGTATCCTGGGCGAGGTCAACCTGGTTTACCCTG